GCTGTATCTATTGTGAGTGACCCAATACCTTTGTTTACATCTCTTCTGTATTTTACAGTATTACACTATGTATGGACTTTTATATTTTTCAGATTAAGCCCAAGAAACATTTATCAATAAGTATAATTGTTTTATGCTTTTTATCTGTATATTGCACCCCCCACTTTGTTATTTTGTTTTATCACTATTTGGTAGTGTCTTTGAGTGATTTGTAGACACTGGGGGTAGTTGCTGTTCTGTGTCTTAGCGCCAATCCACCTGCACTTATTCCTTCCTTTTTAGGTGGAATTTTGTTTTTAGGTTAAAAGTGAAGAATTTTTCAATGGCTGCCTATTTATACTACCTCAACCCCTATTAACTAACAACCAATCCCACAATACCTTCCAACTAAGCCCGCCTTCTAGCTCTGTCTGGGCCCCTTTTCACTAAATCTCTTTCCAAAATCTATCATTTAATAGCTTGCTGGATCCTAATTACATTTTTATCCAAAACATGACAAATATATAAATGTGATAACTAAACGTATGTTCATTTATATTTATCATCCATTAGATTTATATCGTCAACGATTGTATCAATCCTTCCCTGAGACAGACACAATCTTTCACGATATGGATTGAAATTATATATGTTTTATCTCAAGAAAAGCACGTTTTGACTCCCGAGAGCTAACTAAAGCACAAAATACATGACATGTTTCCATCAGAGAGCGACAGTCAACCTTGCTTCACATGTTGTTCTCAGACTAAAAATATCTGTCGCTGTTCTCACTACAGAACAGCTTTAATCAATGTTTATTTAAAATAGATAACACACAAACTTTAAATTAAAAAAAAAACAAGCTGTTTGCTATTGTGATTGCTGTTTAGGGAAGCTTAAAAATGAAAAGGATGTAAACTGACATTTTAATTTCCTATTTGTATGTTTATCCTTTACAAAAACATTTTAAACGATAACAAAATATTAGAGATTATATTGTATTCCTTACCCTGCAAATATTTCCGATTGGATATTATCATGTACAATATGCGTGATAGAATTGTATTAAAAATATTGCAAACCTTTTTTATAATACACTGTGTGCAGGGAGACAGGGGACCTCCTTACACCATAACCTTATAGCTGCAGTTATAATACACTGTGTGCGAGGACACAGGGGATCTCCTTACACCATAACCTTATATCTGCAGTTATAATACACTGTGTGCGGGGAGACAGGGGACCTCCTTACACCATAACCTTATAGCTGCAGTTATAATACACTGTGTGCAGGGAGACCGGGGACCTCCTTACACCATAACCTTATAGCTGCAGTTATAATACACTGTGTGCGAGGACACAGGGGATCTCCTTACACCATAACCTTATATCTGCAGTTATAAAACACTGTGTGCGGGGAGACAGGGGACCTCCTTATACCATAACCTTATATCTGCAGTTATAATACACTGTGTGCAGGGAAACAGGGTCCTCCTTACATCATAACCTTATAGCTGCAGTTATAATACACTGTGTGCAGGGAGACAGGGGCCTCCTTACACCATAACCTTATATCTGCCGTTCTAATACACTGTGTGCGAGGACACAGGGGACCTCCTTACACCATAACCTTATAGCAGCAGTTATAATACACTGTGTGTGAGGACACAGGGGACCTCCTTACACCATAACCTTATATCTGCCGTCATAATACACTGTGTGCGGGGAGACAGGGGACCTCCTTACACCATAACCTTATATCTGCAGTTATAATACACTGTGTGCGGGGAGACAGGGAACCTCCTTACACCATAACCTTATATCTGGAGTTATAATACACTGTGTGCGGGGAGACAGGGGACCTCCTTACACCATAACCTTATAGCTGCAGTTATAATACACTGTGTGCGGGGAGACAGGGGACCTCCTTACACCATAACCTTATAGCTGTAGTTATAATACACTGTGTGCGGGGAGACAGGGGACCTCCTTACACCATAACCTTATAGCAGCAGTTATAATACACTGTGTGCGGGGAGACAGGGGACCTCCTTATACCATAACCTTATAGTTGCAGTTATAATACACTGTGTGCGGGGAGACAGGGGACCTCCTTACACAATAACCTTATAGCTGCAGTTATAATACACTGTGTGCGGGGAGACAGGGGACCTCCTAACACCATAACCTTATATCTGCAGTTATAATACACTGTGTGCGGGGAGACAGGGGGCCTCCTTACACCATAACCTTATATCTGCAGTTATAATACACTGTGTGCAGGGAGACAGCGGCCCTCCTTACACCCTAACCTTATAGCTGCAGTTATAATACACTGTGTTTTCAGGAGACAGGGATAAAGAACATATTTAAATAATTGCCATTAGGTAGAATGTTATCATGCTGGGAATGACCTTTTCAGTAAATGGGATCACATGTTTTAGGGAGATACAAGTACCGTATTTTTCCATCTATAAGACGCCCCCATGTATAAGACGAGCCCTATTTTTTAGCCCAAAATTAAAGGATCACTATAGCGTCAGGAAAACAAACTTGTTTTCCTGACACTATATAACCCTTAGGTCCCCCCTATTCTCAGGGCCCCTCTCCCTTGGCAGTGAAGGGGTTAAAACCCCTCCAGTTACTTACTTTAATCCAGCGCCGGCGCTGATGACCTCTCCTCCCCGGCCGACGTCAGCTCCCGAGTGGTGCGGAATGTGCATGTGCAGCAAGAGCCGCACGCGCATTTAAACAGTCCATTGGAAAGCATTTCTCAATGCTCTCCTATGGACGTTCTGCACGCTGGATGCGATTTGCACATCCAGCGTCGCAGTAGCGCCTCTAGCGGCTGTCAGGAAGACAGCCACTAGAGGCTGTTTTAACCCTGCAATGTAAACATAGCAGTTTCTCTGAAACTGCTATGTTTACATCTGAAGGGTTAAAACCTGAGGGACCTGGCACCCAGACCACTTCATTGAGCTGAAGTGGTCTGGGTGACTATAGTGTCCCTTTAAGAAATAAATATTTTAAACATCTATAGCATCTCAGTCCCCACCAGTCCCGGGCCCCCTCACACCTGTATGCCACTCCACGAGGTCCGGTCATGACACTGGCTCCCTGGACCGCTGTTCTGCTATTTGCGGCAACGAAGCCCTCTGCCCGCAGTAACCATACAAAGGGATGTCCAGGCAAGTCCTCACCCTGCGGCGTCTATATGTAGTCCAGAGCCATGAGGTCTTGGCGTTGTCCAGAGTGATGCGAGGAAGCGTGCGGTTGCACTCAGCTGAGTGTTCTGTCAGCAAGTAGCCAAGTTTTTGCGCTGAGTAAGTACCGTAAGTAATTGGATTAATAATTAATTATTTTTTTTTAAATGTAAGGAGCTTCAGCCACATGTGACTAGCTTTTGGTTGGCTGTCAGGCCCCCGCGCACAAGTGTTGTTGTTTTTTAATCCCTGCATTGACACTCCCTGTATAAGATAACCCAAATTTTAGATTAATAAAAATTTAAAACAAACATAGTCTAATAAATGGAAAAATACAGGTATATATTCCCTTTTCTCTCTTCCGATATGAGAATGAATTGGAGCAGGTCAGGAGAGCTGGTTTGGAGTTTGGAAAGATTTAGCACAGCCCTGATCATTGTTATTCCCTGATTATCACGTCCTCACACTGTGCAGCATTTATTTATTTATTATTTGGCTTCGTACATTCACGCTCGGCTGTTTTTTAGCAATCTGAACAGACGGCACATTAGTAGATACTGTGGATTTGAATTATAATTAATTTACAGAAAAAACTGCATCAAGGTACAGATTTTCCACAAATAAACAATGTGACCTTCTGCCCTTCTGCCCAAATAGACTTACACATTCACAGGATACAATTCTTTATTTCCTATTACTAAAACCAGAAAAGTTGCAGACGTTTTTATCCATTTTGTATTTTTCCCCAGTTCGGAAAGCTGATTGGAATTCGGCGGTTCTCTAAGCAGCAGATGTTGCAGCACATGAATACATTGTCTATTTCATGCGTATGTGATATCTTAAAATGGGCATCAATTCATTTACATGGAATTGATTGTCCAGAATGCGACTGACTCATAATTCAGTTATTATTTTTATGTACTCTGGATGCTTAATTATAGATGGAATAAATTAGGAATTTGTTCAGAAAACGAACACAGAAAAACTGTGAAACTTTAAATATTTCAGCAGCTGTGCCTGTCGAATGAGATACCACGGGCTGTAGTTACTTAGTTACAAGTGACAGCTAAGGAGCCCACAGGTAGCTGGACACTCAGCCACATAGTTTAAAAGATTGTTCCTTTAAAACTAGCAGAATACACTCATCTATTAGGAATTACTGAATAGCAAATCTTAATTCGGCGACAGGCTCTTAAACTTTAAAGGGACACTATAGTCACCCAGACCACTTCAGCTCAATGAAGTGGTCTGGGTGCCTGCTCCCCCAGGTTTTAACCCTTCAGATGTAAACATAGCAGTTTCAGTGCGTCGAGGGAGCCCGGCGCTGGAATAAGGTAAGCTGCTGAAGGGGTTTTAACCCCTTCAGCGCCACGGTAGGGGGACCTTGAGGGTGGGAGCAACCTCAGGGCACTAAAGTGCCAGGAAAACCGCTTTATTTTCCTGACACTATAGTGATCCTTTAATGCAAGTATATCATGTTTTTGACAATCAGTTTTATTAAAAATAAAAAGGTGGCTTGACCATCACTGCGAGCAGTAAAAGCAATATCTTACATACCTCAAACAGCGGTAATCTGACCATCTCTCGACTCCCGACACTTGTGTCAATATGGGGAAGAGGTTGAAGAAACTGAAAACCTGCTCGGGAGACGGCAAGAGGCGGAACAGGGATCTCTTCATGGAGCGGCCTAAACCTAAAATGATGGTGACGCTAGATTCCTGAAGTTCATTCTCGTGGAGGAACCCTTGTACGCGCCTGACATCATACCTGTGGATCCTCTCACTAGAGAATTAATGGGGGTCTGAGTGCTTCGGCAAAATGAGGGCTCCTGAAAAATGTACGCACCTGATTCCAAGCAAACATCGCAGTACGGCAAGAAGAGATGACTGCAGTCACGGACAAGATGAAACCTACAGAAGAAGATATAGCTACAATAACGGTATGCCAAGTGGACACAGCAGAACAGTTTCAGCAACTACAGTCTTCACTCCAGGCCTTGCAGACCAGACTGGACACACTAGACAACGTAAGGTGATGGAACAACATCAAAATACGGGGCATAGCGGAATCCCCATAGATGACAGGGAGCTGCCACACTTCCTCCGATGCCTCCTCTCTGCTATCTTGCACCCCAGGAAAGCCAAACATACACCCGTGGAGGGATCTTACAGGGTTTCTAAGTCAGCCAGGGCTCCAGTGGCTGCCTCCCGCAATGTTCTACTTCGCTTTCAATATTTTTGTGACACGCTTTAAAATGAAAGCTCCTTCCAATTCGAAGACAGGCAGTTTCCCTTCCTGCAGAATTTATGCAAGGCAACATTAGAATGGATGCGTTCAGTTTGTCGGGTCACTCTGGCCCTCCAAAAAGCTGGTGTGAAATACCGTTAGGGCCCATCTCGCACCCTCCTGGCAACCAAGGGAGATTCCACCTTCCGACTCTCCTCGCCCGAAAAGGTACAACAACACAAATATAAGGCAAAGAATAATGTTACCTGCATACTATCCCAAATCCCTATGCACATTTAAATAGCAGGAGGTAAAATGGCCAATAACGTGTAAGCCTGTCAAGGCAAACCTCTTAGGTGAGTCCTACATTAACAAACAACCTTACTGCTTCCAGCAAAAAGGCAAAATCTCTAATGAGAGAGAAAGGGGTATTGTTACAAACTAATGACCAATTATGGGGTGTGCGACAACACTGTAACATGGTTATGTAAATAAAACAAATAACGAAAAAATATGCCCTGTGCTCAAACTCTGACTACTTCTAGGAAAAGGCGATAGTATTCACCGAGTCCTAATACATACAAAGATCAAAATAGACAACATCCCCTAATCCAAAAAAATGGATCGGAGGTGAAGAAGCGGGTTACAGAGGTAGTAAAGGGCCTAACCCTAGAGAACCAAAATAGAGGAAAAGAAAATAACTGGAGAGGAAAGAGAACTCCACAAAGCCCCATCCCCAGTACTACCTCATACGTACTGAACTATAAAGACTTGCACACAAACAAACTACAATTATATTAAGTGTTCTTGCATAGCAAGACCACTTATTGTTATCTCACATATATATTATTCCTATTCTTATTATAGCCAAATTTACCACCCTAACTCCTCCCACAGTTTTTACACTACATAGACCGTAATATACCGAAATGTGCAAATTGTTCCCGATTGGATTGCTATTAGTTTGTGGAACGTTTCGCCGAATGGTTCACGGAATATCGTCATTCTTGTGGCGAAATTGGTCCCATAGGAATGAATGGCAAAATGTTCAAAACTAGAGTGGGAGCTGACAAAAGCTGAAAAATCAGGACATGATTTTTGAACTGCCCCCACTCCCTCATTTTCAAGCCCACCTACACAAATCTTATATCAAAACGTTCAACTATCCCTGCTGCCACTAAATATGTCAACCGCTAAGCCATAGTCCTGATAGTTTTCACAATATGACCATTTGTTTGCAACTCAAAACTAGAGTGGGAGCTGACAAAAGCTGAAAAATCAGGACATGATTTTTGAACTGCCCCCACTCCCTCATTTTCAAGCCCACCTACACAAATCTTATATCAAAACGTTCAACTATCCCTGCTGCCACTAAATATGTCAACCGCTAAGCCATAGTCCTGATAGTTTTCACAATATGACCATTTGTTTGCAACTCACGCCATCCATTGACATTCATTGAAACTCCACTCTAGCCAGCTCAAACGTGAAGGGCAATTTCTAAACTGCGACTGTGCCTTCATTGTTAATATTGCAGAGACATACTATGCATCAAAATGCAGGTCTGGGTCTTGTGATTCTCACAATATAAAGCTCTTCACTGTAGGATTTATAGTTTTTAAAATACAATCGTTTGAAGATGGCAACCGCCAAAATACTCTGACCTGTGCCAGGCTGGAGCAGCAAGTGATGTCATAGACTTTTGTACACCTGCTAATGTTTTTATAAATGTATGTTTTAATGTAACTGTGAAGCACTTTGGGCAACAACGTTGCAATTAAATGTGCTATATAAATAAATAATAACAGTTACTCAGCCCACTCCAGTTGTAGACTACTGGTGGAGGCAAGAACACTTCACACAATTTCCCCAGAAATTGTAGCTTTTCTAGTTCTTATTCTTATTATAGCTAAATTTACCACCCTAATGCCTCCCACAGTTTTTACACTACATAGACAGAAATATACCAAAACGTGCGGATTGTTCCCGATCGGAGTGCTATTACTTTGTGGAACGTTTCGCCAAATGGTTCACGGAATATCGTCGTTCTTGTGGCGAAATTGGTCCCATAGGAATGAATGGCAAAATGTTCAAAACTAGAGTGGGAGCTGGCAAAAGCTGAAAAATCAGGACATGATTTCTAAACTGCCACCACTCCCTCATTTTCAAGCCCACCTACACAAATCTTATATCAAAACATTCAGCTATCCCTGCTGCCACTAAAAATGTCCACGGCTAAGCCATATTCCTGATAGTTTTCACGATATGATAAGTGTTCTTGCATAGCAAGACCACTTAATGTTATCTCACATATATATTATTCTTATTCTTATTATAGCCAAATTTACCACCCTAACTCCTCCCACAGTTTTTACACTACATAGACAGTAATATACCGAAACGTGCAGATTGTTCCCGATCGGATTGTTATTACTTTGTGGAACGTTTCGCCGAATGGTTCACGGAATATCGTCATTCTTGTGGCGAAATTGGTCCCATAGGAATGAATGGCAAAGCTAGAGTGGGAGCTGGCAAAAGCTGAAAAATCAGGACATGATTTCTAAACTGCCACCACGCCCTCATTTTCAAGCCCACCTACACAAATCTTATATTAAAACGTTCAGCTATCCCTGATGCCACTAAACATGTCAATGGCTAAGCCATAGTCCTGATAGTTTTCACAATATGACCATTTGTTTGCAACTCACGTCGTCCATTGACATTCATTGAAACTCCACTTTAGCCAGCTCAAACTTGCCATACTTGCCAACTTGACATACTATGCATCAACATGTAGGTCTGGGTCTTGTGATTCTCACAATATAAAGCTCTTCGCTGTAGGATGTATAGTTTGTAAGATCCGACCGTTTGAAGATGGCAACAGCCAAAATACTCTGACCTAAGCCCCGATATGCGATGGTGTATATCGACGGGAGAGCGCCGTCCCCACAACAGGAGCGGCGTCAAATCTCCTAGGCAACACTGTATCAAAGGGTGTACAAAGGTCCCGATTTGTACACCCTTTGATACAGTGTTGCCTAGGAGATTTGACGCCACTCCTGTCTCGATTTGTACACCCCATTCAGAGGGGAGGAATTTTTGGACAGTTTAAAAATGGCCCGGGCAGAACACTGTTGTCTTGCTGCCCTTGAGAAAGGCAGAACGATACCCGCCGAAACGCGCGTCGGGCTTCCGATGCAGTATGCTTTGATGATTTTATTTTCACATTTTTAGACTGCTAGGCTAGGAGTCTGCTTCGTTATACAGTTAGGGGGACCTTTTGTGGCTAGGTTCCCCCTGATATCACTATAGAGCATTGTGGACTAGGATCTAGGAATCCATTTGTCTTTATTGAACTCGTCTTTATTGAACTCCTCTATTTATCATTCAAACTTTATTTTCAATTATCTCTAACCTCCTGTCCTTTCTATTGACCTCCTGTGGCTACATTTTTGAGTGGACTATGCCTTAACTTATAATGTTAGCTCAGTTTAGGTTTTTAACAATCTATGCTTGACAGCCATTACAGTCACAGATTAATTGAGGCCGTCCATTATGATATATTTGACAGAAGGTGACACTCTAGTGATATTGCTCTATGCTGCCACTTTAATAGGCTACTCTTATCTCTGACCATTACTAGTCGGTTTATGGATAGGAGCTTGGACTCTTTGGACTCTAGTCTTTTTAATTTGAGTCCCGTGTATAAGGAGTTTATGGGACAGGTATGATATACTATTCTCCAAAATAGCGAATCATATGGGATATCTCCCATTTACTCATTTCGCTTGATTGAGAAATACTTTGTACACTCTTTTCCCCTCCTGTAGTTTTGAATAATTGAATAGAGGATACGCCTTTATTCCTCTATGCCGATTCCTTTCTTTTCTCTATTGCTCGTTATATAGGTTCACTTCAGTCTATTGCCACAGCTGTAATTCATATCTTTGGTAATTCTCCAAGATTTGACACACTAATTGTTACTATGTGGCAATACACTGTATTTATTATCTCAACCTTTTAAATTGCAACATTGTTTAAGTATTAACCATAGAACTTGCTATGTTTGTATATGGTTAAGTATACTTCCTTTAGCGGCAGATCTAGCAGTCTTTCTTAACTACTTTTCACATTCAAGACCCACTAGATGGTCTCTCTAGACGTACATAGGAGTTATAGTATTTTCCTTTTTTTTGTCTTTGATTATTAATAAAATTGTAGTTTGTTTGTGTGCAAGTCTTTATAGTTCAGTATGTATGAGGTAGTACTGGGGAGGGGGCTTTGTGGAGTTCTCTTTCCTCTCCAGTTATTTTCTTTTCTTCTACATACAAAGATCAACCCCTCCCAGTAAGTTGCAAAGTAAGTAAGCACACTATTCCAAATCCCTAAGTCACACACACAGTCGCAGACAGTCACAGGCAGACAGTCACACACACAGTCACAGGCAGACAGTCACACACACAGTCACAGCCAGACATTCACACACACAGTTACAGGCAGACAGTCACATACACAGTCACAGGTAGACCGTTACACACACAGGCAAAGGCAGTCACACACAGTCACAGGCAGTCACAGACAGACAGTCAAGCACAATTTCACAGTCACAGGCAGACAGTCACAGGAAAACAGTCGCACACACAGTCACTCGCAGACAGTCTCAAGCAGACAGACACACACAGTCACACATACAGTCACAGGCAGACAGTCACACACACAGTCACAGAAAGTCACAGGCATACACTAGCAGACAGTCACACATACAGTCACAGGCAGACAGTCACACACACAGTCACAGGCAGTCACACATACAGTCACAGACACACAGACACAGACAGTCACAGGCAGACAGACACAATCACAGTTACACACACACACACACACACATCACACACTTTCTCTCACTTACTGGAGGAGTAGTGTAGTCACTGAAGTCCCTGGTGTGTAGTTGTTGGGGAAGCACTGACTCCTTCCTGCTTCCGCTCTTTGTGCATCAGTGGCAGCAGTGGGTGGAGGCTGTCTTTAGC